AATTTGCTTGACCAATATGAAAAGATTTCTCTAGAACCAAATAAGGTTGAATAATTATTTAAAAACAAGAGCATGACCAGATGCTCTAATTTTCTCTATTTCAGAACTAGTTCTCTTATACAAATCCAAGACATCTTCAGAAGATTTGATAGATGAAATAGAATCGGAAACGTAAACAGTTTTGGTTTTCGATTTTCTTCCTCCAGTCCTTTTCACCTTACTATCTGAAACAACATTCTCTTCCGAAGCTAAATCAGTAGATTTGGTAATTTTAGTATTATGTATTTTGTTTTCCAGTATTGTGAAGACAGAATCGAATTTATTAGCATCATGATTGAAATCTTTACTTAAGCTAGCTACAGATGTAGCTGATCGCAATGCCTCTTCTCTAAAATCTATTAGTGGATGATTCCCTCTCCATATTTGATATACACGCCTTGTTGATATTTTGTATTTGCTTGCCATAGCTTCTGATGCACGTTTCATTGAATTTTTAGCATTAATGATATCTTGTATATTATCATCAGATAAAGGAGTTGCATCAGATTGCAGATATCGAACTTTTTTTTCTGAATTCCTGCCTTCTCGCTCGAAGCCACTCATACTTAATAGATTTTTAAAAATATTGATTACTATATATATTTTTTTTAAGCTTGCGAAAAAATAATTCGAAAAAAAATTAATACTGTTTTGATATATATCCAATCCCTGTTTAGTGTTTCTGAACCATTCGGTTAATATCTAATCCTATTTCGGTGTTTCTGAACCATTCGGTTAATATCCAATTCTATTTCAGTGAAAATTCGATTTAGATATATTGGTTAATATCTAATTCTTATTTGGTTCACTATTCTTTTTGATTAGTATTTGATTAATATCTTCAATTAAAATTCGATTGGTATAACCACAAGCAATGCAATAAAAACTTATCATATTTCACGATTCAATAGAAAGCTGGATATTGTAAGATTTAATCTGAGAATATAGAGGTATTGTATCAAATGATTTATCATCTTTATTGAGCATTGTGTTATCTATTGGCAAATTAGTACTTAAATCAATAAGGGTTTCAGTTATAAGATTCTTTTTTCTTACTGTTGAATTTTCAGTTATTTGTGTCTGATTCGAAAAAAATGTATTTTGTGTAGGGTCAATAGGATGTTCCTGTTCTCTCTATATTTGATAAATATGCTTTGATGATGTTTTATACTTACTCATCAACTCATTTAAAATTTTATACCTCGGTTTTATATTACAACACTGCATAATATAAGAATAATCCTCAGGAGAAAACAGAGATGTATCAGATTTTAAATATCTAGTCATAGTTCTACTATATATATGATAATCGGTAGTTTGTAATTTATAGGTATTATTAATATTAGTTATCCGCTATTTAATTTATTTTTAGCTGTTTCAATAAAGAATTTCGCTCATAATTTTTTTTATATACTAATAACTAAGCCAAAAAAAAACTATATTCAATGTGCATACCTTAAGAGATATCGAGAATAAAAGGGTCCTGGAGGGGCCAGGTCATCGGCTTGGTAGCATCCGTAAATCAGAGCTTGAAAAAGCATTGCATGATAGTATCAAAACTGTTTCTGATATTGCTAATGAATATAAAGACCTGTAGGATGTATATTTAAAGCAAAAAAAGGATCTTGAGCTGGTTCAAGCTGATGCTAGAAAAAGGATTAGCTAGCTGAATACATCCAATACTAGGCTTAGATCTTCTGAATGGTCATCCTATACTGAGCATGAAGCAGAGTGAGCCAATTATTCTGCTGAAATCTAATTGCTCAAATCTGAGATTAAAATACTAAAGAGAAAAGCGACCCTCGCCCAAAAAGCCTCATTCCTTGACAAGGGCGAGATTCTTTATCTTAAAGGTGAAATAGATAAACTGAAAGCCAAAGTAGATAAATTGAAATCTGAGATGGAACTAGAATGCACATCTCATGATTCAGATACCACTTCTTTTAGAGATAAAATAAATGAATTAAATTCCTTTAATCATACATTGGAGCGAGAAAGGGATGATTTAAATTCAAAGAAACATGAATTGGAAGCCGAGGTGGGGTGTAAGGATTCTGAAATCACCTCTCTTAGAACTAAAGTAAATGAACTAGAGAAAGTAGCAGGAAAAGTATTATATAGTTATGGGTTAATTAGCTATCTCAGATCTAGAGTGAGGGAATTGGAAGATCAGTTAGAACAACAAATATCCCAGTCATCTCACGAGTCGAACATAATAGGTGGAGCTAAAGAGGATCCAGACTCGGCTAAGTCCCTTTTTCAAGAGACTAATACCTATTTAGCAGAGCAGGTTTCGAAAGCATCTAGTGAGACTAATAAAGTGATTGGAGGCGCTCTCTCTTTTTCTTCACACCGCTCAAAGCTTGAACCTGATGAAAGCAAAGTTAAAGATGTGGTAGAGTTCCTAATAAAGTATATTGATTAAAAATCAAAAGAGAAACTTGATAGTATTTCAACCTTACCTATTGTTACATTAGAGGTTGGCAATGCTTTAGTTAATAATCAGTATATAATTCCACCTATATTCAAGCTTGTTATTTTAGCCTTAGTGATAATATTAATTATATGATATATATACAGGCAAATTTTTCGACTAAGCACGCCTTCTCGTAATAAATCACTTGAAGCCACTTAAATAGGTAAATATATGGGGTCTTTGCCTTGAAAATCACTTTTTGAAATTTCTGATCGGGCTAATTCGGACGAAATCAAACTCGCGTATTAGTTCATGTTTATATGTAAACCTCCTTTGCCTTTATTGATTCAATAGCTTATTCGATAAACTATTGAATCAATAAATACAAAGGGATTTACATATAAACATGAACTAATACACGGGTTTGATTTCGTCTGAATTAGCCCAATTGGAAATGTCAGAGGGTGATTTTTAAGGCAAAGACCCCATATTTCAAAAAAAGAACAAAGTAAAAATGGTTTTTTTTTACCAGATCAAAAAATATTAATTTATTTTTTTTAAATATAGATAATTATTTTGTGACTTTGAGCAGGAACTGCGAGAAGGCGGATAGAAAACAGAGTTATAGATATCCAATCCATCATGCAGAAGAATTCAAAAACAGAAATACCTTCTATGAAACTTCATCTTTTGGATATAGATGAAGTTACAAAGCATGAATCATCCCGAAATATTGGTCATCCGGCGATGACATGGTCTTTCAGTATGCTAGTCAGTGGGAGGAGTGGTACAGGTAAGACTAATTTACTTGCGAATCTTGTTCTTGGTGATAAGGATGAATATATGCAAAGAGGGAAAAAGAGTGGGTCTTGCTATATTAAATGTGACAATCTAATTATTTGTAGGTATCATCCTGATGAGCCAAAATGGGCATATGTGAGATATATATATAATCTAATTTCAAAAGACCCAAGAGCACCTTACTATGAGGATATTAGTTTCAGTTACATTCCCCCAAAAAAATTCCTAGTACAAGAACTTTCTCACCTGAAAGAAGCAAATTAATTATTATTGAGGATCTATGTTTAGCTTCAGAGTATATACAAAATCGAATTGGTCAGTTTTTTGGGAATGGACGTCACCAAAATATTTAAAGTATATATGTAACACAAAAATATCATAAAGTCAATACATTTATTTGTGAAAACTTAACACATTTAATATTATTTAACTCTGGTAGCAGTATTCAAGACGTATCTAAGATTGTTGGACGATATACTGATGATATAAAGGGTGTATCCATAGTTATTAATAGCTACCTTTGCAAAGGTAAGTTTGTCGTATTTGATCTTACTAGGTCAGAGGACGATCCTCTAGCAATTCGGCTAAGATTTAACACACCGTTGAACCTGCAGAAAGAAATAGAAGCAAGGCAGAAGCGGAAGGAAAAAATGCTTTAGCTAATTCATAAAACTTTTTACTGCACTCTCGCAAGCTCAGAAATGCAGAAATTGATTACCTTTGACACATCTATAACTGATAGTAGTTTGCATACAATGTGTACTCCAAAAAGGCATCCAGGTAGATAGACTCATTTAAATATATTTATTCATTATATGCTATGGTTGTTCACCGTTTTCCTAATGCTATTCTTGAGATCACAATTGGGAAATAAAATTTATACATTAGTATTTACTTGCAATATATGCAAAAAAGAAATAAAAATCTATAAAGTGTATATTAATAATTATTTACATTTTTTTTGTTTTCAGCTATGTATAAATTTGAATCATGATATTCCTTGATATATGTTGATAAAGAATCACTAAAAACACTATAAATCGTTAAAATACTAAAACAATAAATTATTAATAAATATGTTTAGTCAAACTCCTAAAATCATTATAGATGAGGTTTTTAATAAATTGGTATCCAAACCAATTAATCTTCATCCAGAATATGATTTGGAATATGTCAAAAAATATTATGTGAAATGTGGTAGTTATAACTATAATCATGTTGAAAATATGTACAAACTAGAAAAAAGATATGATGATTTAGCTATTATTAGACCTTGTGAAACACCTCAACAGTGGGTTATTCGTATAAAAGATGATTTGAAAGAGTTGCTTTCTAGAGAAAGACATAGTATATTTTATACACACTGCCTTTTCAGTTTATTTGAACAAGGATCAATTAGGATGTACCTTAAAAATCACAGGCTGAAAATAGAGCATATCAGCTATCGAAGACCTAAAGTTCATAAAAGTCAAATAGCTATATGCTTTAAATGCTGGCAATTGGTAAAGATTACTAAAGTAGAGCCGAAAAAGGTATATTGGAACAGATGGCATAGATGGGGTTATGAGATTAAATCGGAGGACTTAATGCAAAATCATTGGAATAATGAATGCTCTAAAACTAAAATGCAAGATGGAAGTACACAGGTTATCCAAAATATCGTGCCAATCAAGTCTATAAAATCAAAAGCTTTACGCCTAGTTTGATTAATGAGCCATGTTCATTGACTCCTCCGCCATTACCGCCAAAGCCTTTTGCATTAATTGGTGGTCTCTCAAGATACTCATGTAAACATAGTATAAATGTACCCAAGATTAAAAATCTTTGAAGTGATCGATCAAATATGCTTACTATTTCTAGCAGGACTAGTTTGGACCATGTTGCTGATGCATATTTCAATTTTGTGCGAAAAAATGCAAAGGAGATAGACTTAATATCCTTCGATTAAATAATAGTATAAATTTATTTATCTTTATAATCTATTTACATATAATTATTAGGTTATGTATTCGATTTTTTGATAGTTGTTCACTGTTTTCCTAATGCTATTCTTGAGATCACAATTAGGTAATATATATTTTATATTTATTTACTTCTGATACAGGCAGTAAAGTGTTGATGTGAAATAAAAACTTATTTACAAATGCTTAAATTATATGCTATCACTTTATCTATATATTTAGTGACTAGCATTAATTTTGTATTTCGCTATTAAGCCTCTTTTCGTAAGTTCTAGATCTTAAATAAGTTAAAATATATATGAATATTGGGTTTAAAAAAATAGTTATAAATAATTTCTAATATAACAATTATATTTACCGAGATGGGGGGTGTGGCGATCTAGTGTAGTGGTTAGGTTGTCACCCCCACCAAGTGGCAGGTCAAGAGTTCGAAACCCACCGTCGACGGAAAAT